GAAGATTAATCAGAACTGGCTTTGACAAGCACTGTGGCATTTGGACAAGAACAAACTGGGAGGAGGGTAGAGAGAATAGTGCAACAATGATTGAGTGGAAGCCCAAAATCTCTGTAAATGTTTATGAAAATTAATAAAATATAATTATAGAAAGAAAAAAAAACAAAAAAACCCTAATTATATATGCATAAACCACTCTGACAGAAGGCAGTAAGCTTCTCAAATGAACTAAACAGGGAGATTTTTGATAAACGTCCCCTGTGAAGCCACAGATCCTCATGGGCTCCTAGAACATGGGGTGGTGAATGATTAAGAGCAGGGGCCACTGAGTCCACCTGGCCTTGGTGAACATACTGCTGTGCATCCCATGACAGGTTCTTCAAGCCCTTGGCCTGGATTCCCTCCACTTTTTATCATTGCGACAAAGATTAAGTGAGATAATGGAGGTAAAATGCTTAGTGGAGTGTCTGGCACAAAGGTAAGTACTCAATAAATGTCAGCTGTAATCTGCTACTGTGGCTGTTTTTATTATCACTGAGAAGACTGCTTAGCAACTCCCCACCCATGTATACAAACAGAAAATTTAGGGGTGGGAGCTGCTTTACAAAAATATTTGCTAGCATTTAACATAAATAAACTTCAAGCTACAAAAATATTTTAATGACAAAGTAAACTGGGCCTTAGAATTCGTGAATAACTTAATGCTTAAGAAAATGCCACTGAACAGTAAGAAGCGTGTATGATAAACAACTGAGCATCTACTAAATCAGAGCCAAGGTCAAGGAGAAATCAAGTTCATACCGAAGAACAGTGCTTTGCCAGAAGCAGCACTAGTGTTAAGGACCCGATGAAAGTGAAGGGAGAGATAGGTGCATCATGTAGATAAAAGTGCCAGAGAAAGGCTTTGTATTTTCATATAGATAACAACCTGAAAAAAGTGTAAATGTGTATTGTCTACATGTGTATGTATGCCTTGATAGTATAGTGATTAAGCTCTCATCTGCCAGCCAACCTAGGGGTCTGTGATTCAAACCCACCTTGAGAGAAAGTGTGCTTCTGTAAAGACTGAAAAAAACCAACAAACAAAACCCAACCAAAAAAGCTTTTAAAAAATGGCCCATCTTTCTCCTATGGAGGCACTTGGGGATCTGAAACACCCAAGGGGCGCTGCCTTTGGGCATCAGAACTCCCCTATAATGTCCTGAAACCTTATGGGACAGATCTACTTTGCTCAATAGGGTTGCTATAAAACAGAACTGGCTCAACGACAAAGGGTTAAGGGTTTTGATATGCACCTGGCCACACACCAAGCATGCATGCTTAAGTATAAAGCTTGGCTGCAAGAATCTTGATGCTCACCTTAAAAAACCAGCCCTGCCAAGTGACCCAGAGCTTGCCTTCCTGATCCCAGCTACTGTAGTGATGTTATATGCACTATTCTGGAGCCAAGGTGATGGGGGAAGGAGTTCAGACATTGTTTATAAGCTTAGGATGATAGTAAAAGCTGCTTATGTAAGGTCCTTTTACCTGCTTGCTCATAGTTGCCTAAGTTTAGCTGCCAACATAAGGTAATGAGGGATTTGTTATCAAGTCACCCTGACACAAAAAAAATTGATAAATTACTTGGAAGAATGCACAATCAGCAAGGAGGCCTGATAACTACCTACCTCAAAAACCAAACACAGGACATCTGACAACCATCACGGGAAGAGATAACATGGAACAAACAACCGTGTCAGACCCCTGGACACTCCCCTCCGGAACCTTCTGGCATTTCTTTCTCCTTACTTACTGCCCTTGGTCACCCCCTTACAAGGCCTGGCTTGATTCTGAGAAGTCAGAAAACAGACTGTAGCATCAATGCTTCTGTTTTCTCTCAGATCATTGGCATGTGAATAAAGTGCATTTAGAAGATTCAATCCTTGTCTCTACTCAATTGGCTTATAGTGACAGGCAGCTGAAACTGTCCCTTTTCTGGCTACAAAGGGCTACAGTGAACAGCACATGGGTGGGTAGCATATGCTAAGAATCATTTCCCTTCAGAGAAGCCTTCAAGACAGCGACATCGGATAAGTATTACAAAGGTTTATATTTTAAACAATTCATACATCAGTTATCCTCTCTTTTCTTAGTCTTACTGTATTTCTAATGCTTCTATTTTTAAAAAGCCCTTAAAAATCTGTCAAAGGAATGTTTTATGTTGTATACATCAAGCTGGTGGTAAGAAACTGTGCTGCAATCTTGAATGTACGTGGTTCAAATCCACCAGCAGCTCTGTGGGAGAAGGATGGGCAATCTCCTCCCGTGCAATTAACTGCCTCTGAAAACCCACTGGAGGGTCAGCTTTGGGTCAGTTCTGATTTGATGGTACACAACAGCAACAACATACATAAATAAGTCATGAGAGAATGGCTGTCACAGGTACCAAGAACAAAATGACAGTAATATCACCTAATCAACACTCATCATGTGTATGCTACTGTGATAAGCATTTTATACTTAAGAACTCAGTTCATCAGGGAGCTCTGGTGACTTGGAGATAAGGAACTGCTGTGTCAACCCAAAGGTACGTGGTTTGACTCTGTCAGCTGCTCCATGAGAGGAAAATGTACAATCTCCTCCTGTGTGATTTCCTGCCTCTGAAAACCTGCTGGAAAGTCAGCTATAGGTTGGTTCCCACTCAACAATAACAACAACTGATTTAATCATCCCTGAAGGGGCTTTGGTTATCACTTTCACTTAGATAACAATTTGACAAATAATGGTAAATGTAGATATACGTGTCTATGTGTTAACATATATATAAGGACCCCTTGTGGTGCAGTGAGATAAAAAGTCTTACTTCCATTTTACAAATGAAGACCTCATGGTCAGAGAGGTTAAGTACTTTACCCAGGGTCAAAAAGTTCATTACTGGAAGTCTCTGGCAGTCTATCTCCTGAGGTCCTGCTCTTAACCACTACTGTGATAATGACAATACACATCTGTGGTGTTTACAAGATAGAGGGTCAGTGAAGGAGAGAAGACCCCCAACATGAGGGCTCGACACTGTGACTTCAGCAATGAGCTCGAGTGTCTCAGAGATGATGAGGACGGCACTAGACTGGTTTCAGAATGGCTATTCACAGGGGTTCATTAAGTCATACTGGACTCGACAGCACCTAACCACCACCACCACAACAACCCCCATTTGGCAACTTCAATCATCCAGGCAACAATTTAATCTTACCTGGGTCCATAACCAACACTTGTGGTAATAGCAGTTAAGAAAAAAACAAACAAACAAACAAAAAAAAATTTAAAAAAAAGAAAAAAATTTAAAAATCAGAAAGACATGTCACTCTGGGAAAAGTCTGAGATCAAGGACTACTCCAAAGTGCTCAGAGCAATGAGGTCAATTTAAAGACTAAGGTGCACCTGATCCAAACCACTATCTTTTCAATTACTTCACATGTATCTGAAAGTCAGGCGTATGAATAAAGTTGACAGAAGAATTGGTGCCTTTGAATTGTGATGATGTTGAAGAGGAGTGAATGCATGGGCTGCAAAAAAGAACAAATGAGTCTGTTTTAGAGGAGTGTATCTAGGATGCTCCAGAGAGGCACGGATGGTGGTACTTTATCTCATATACTCTGGGCATATTGTCAGGAAAATGACATCATGCTGGGAAAGATGGAAGGTCAGAGACACAAGACTGACTGACACTGTGACTAAATCAATGGACCTGAACAAATCAGAGGTGGTGAGGATGGAGCAGGACAGCGAAAGATGCCCATTTGTTGTTCAAAGGCTGCTATGAGCTGTAGTTGACTCAATGGCATCTTCCAACACCTCCAACTTGACCTTTATCCTCAGATCCTAGGAAATAATCTCTAAAATCTGAGCATTTCCCCGGTAACTTGGTAAGGGCTTCAGACCTTCACCTACCCTAATAGATTGTCCTAAAGAGCTGATACTACGATGGGGGGGTGGCTGGGCCAGAGAGACTATCCTATGATAGCAACCTCATGATCACCTGCTGATATCAACTAATTTCAGAGAAGAGAGACTAGAGTTTAAATTACATAATGAGGTTGCCAAAAAAGGCTCAGGACAAGGAAGTTCCGTTCCACTGGCTTCATGACTGGTGAAAGCCACAGTACATGTGTGAACCAGTCCAGTAAACGACTGAACCCAGAGGGGTGCTAGGAGAGGGCAGGTCAGGAGAGAGGGAGACTGGAAATCCTGAGCTTGCAGCTGGCACCCTGAAGCAATGTGAGGAATGCCTGGATTTGTCACTCGAAAGTCAGAAGAGAGGAACTCCAAGCTTGCAGGTGGCATGTGACGTCTTAGGCTGGCTAGGCAGTCAGAGGAATGTGTCCTTTAACTTGTGAGATCTGAACTCTTGGGGATTAGAGGAGAGAAAAGTACTGGAGGTACAGCTGGTGTCAGAGCATAAGTGGCAGAGAACTGATTTAGATCTTGATGTATCCTTATATTTGGTGTCAGAGAAGCAGGATTTTTCTTTTTCCCCTCCAACAAGTTTTCAGAGGCAGTATAATCATATGAGCGCAGACTTTCCAACCTTCACCCACTGAGTAGCTGGTAGATGTGAACTGCTTGCCTTTGAGACGGTGTCTTTTTTTTAGATTGTAGACTAGATTTTTTTATTTATACAAGTTTAATTACAAAATCCGGATACATTGTTTTCCACACCAGATCCTTTCCATTTCCCTCATCCCCCATCAGACTGGATGACCCCATAGTTAATCCTTCCCCTGCCCGCTGCACATTCTCACCATAGACTATATTTTGACGGAAGAGAATGTGGTACAGTGGTATTTTGGTTGAAGGGTGAGGACATGGAAGCTGGTCTAGGAGATATTCTTTCAGAACCACCGCTGCCAAGTCCTGTCTCTCGCTTAATCTGGAAAAGTCCTCTGTGGTTAGGTGCTTATTAAATGCTCTTGAATGGCAAATGAGAATTGGTCTTGTGTTCTGTTCACTGGACATATTTTGCTATTGAATTGGTTGCTACTTTCTCCTCTGCCACTCACTTTTTTCCCCCCCCCAGGAAGCAATTTGCTTTTATTATGAAATTTTTCTGGATAACTCCTCATCCATCAAAACAAGCATATTTCCTTAGTGTAGATTCTTGGGAATTCTGATTTCTTTTGTCGGGGATGAGACAGTGTCTTATTACCAGAGCTCCCTAAGAAGTTTCTAGGGGCAGAAAATGCTCTGTTCATAGGACAAGCTAAAATTTTATTTCAGCAAAACATAACTGTTGGGGTAATGGTGGGCATGGATCAATGATTAATTTTATGATATATAATGTATGGGAATAATCGTATGAAACAATGTGGATAAAGGAATGTGCCAAACACAATGAATATAAATAGAACACAATGTATATGAATTTTATATGAAAACCAATATAAAAAATAATTTTAAAACTATAAAAGTATGTATCAATCAACAAGCTGTAGAATGACACTGAGACCTTGGATAAAAAAAAACAAACCACAAACCTATAAAAGTAAAATAACAAAAAAATAACTGTCTACATTAAACTGTAGAGCTCTGGTGGTCTTGTGGCAAGAAGCTGCACTGCAATCCCAAAGGCACATGGTTTGAGTCCACCAGTTACTCTGCAAGAGAATGATGGACAATCTCCCATTGTGCAATTAAGTCCTGCTGGAGGGTCAGCTATGGGTTACTTCTTTTTTTTTTTTAATTTTGTGTGCGTTTAAAAAACAAGGAACTCATGCAATATTATTCAAAATGGTTGACTCTGGAGAACATTATGCTGAGTGAAATATCCCAGTCACAAAAGGACAAATATTACATGATGCCACTGTTGTAGAATGGGACTGTCCTTGGGGTTAGGGAGACACTGAGTAAGATGGGTTCAATAATGTATACTGCACTGAAACAGAGGAGGGAGAGAACCGTTTAAAAGAGAGATGTAACTGGGTATTTCTGTCATCACAGGAGACTAGAGTGAGGGCTGCATGGTGGAGGGGACCTGGGGGAGGGTTTGTAAAACAATGAAAGAATCTTTTCTTTTACTTTTCCATAATTTTTGGACTCATGTACTTATAACTTGTTAGTCAAATTTGTGTCTTCTAGGTTGCAACACCCCCATGATACATCTTCAAGGATATGTACATGTACAGCCAAGCACAATCAATAAGAGTGCATCTGAATTCCAAAATCAATCTCCATAATAGTCTATGTGTTTCCTACTGCCAAAGGGGCCCTTTAGAGTAGTGAGAGAAGATCTTCACCCTGAAACCCACAGCGTCCCTTTTCAGCAGGAAGTAGCTAAGAGAATACGCCATCCCCTTTTCCTTATGACTCAGGGTGAAGTCTCTCTCAGGGAGGAGTGATAGGGAATGGCAAAGGATACACTGACAAAGAAGATTAATCAGAACTGGCTTTGACAAGCACTGTGGCATTTGGACAAGAACAAACTGGGAGGAGGGTAGAGAGAATAGTGCAACAATGAATGAGTGGAAGCCCAAAATCTCTGTAAATGTTTATGAAAATTAATAAAATATAATTATAGAAAAAAAAAATTTTGTGTGCGTGTACCGTCAAATCAGATCTGACTGGTACAGGAGGATAATTGCACCTCCTTCTCCGGCAGAGCCTCTGGTGGATTCGAACCGTGTTTCTCTGGGATTGCAGTGCAGCTTCTTGCCACTAGGCCACCAGAGCTCCCCTATGGGTTACTTCTGACTCAATAGTACACAACAACACCAATAACATTAACATTACTTTAATAAACTTCATTTTGAATGTTTTGTAAATAATATTTCATTTACAGATGTTTTGATTTTATAGCTATTTGCTTACAACGGTTAAAATATTTTGCCCTATTTCTAAGTTTACAAATACTTAAGTAATATAAATGTCAATGTCAATGTCAATGAAGAGCCTTTACTCTTAAAGCATACACTAAAAACATACTATGATAGTGCTGGATGTGCCTGTGTGCCTGGGGGCTGTTCAGTGTTCATCATTCCAACCTGACCCTCTTTCCCCGAGTTCTCCCGTCATACCAGAACAACATTTCCCACACAGGGTGGGTGATTGCCACTGAGTCAACAAACTTAAGCTAGAATTTTCCAGTCACAAGACTCATGAAAGATAGGGGCGAGGTGTATGACCATGAGAGCGGTCAGCGTGTGGGAGGAAGTAGAGATGCAGGAAGGGCTGAGGCAGGTGAGAGAGCCCAAGTCACACCGCAGGTCCAGCCATCTCTGGACAGAGATTAGATCCACAATCCTCTGCTTGATACTGGAAAAATCCTGTTTCTCTGTGCTTGTCAAAATCCACTGGAGGGCCAGCTATGAATGGGCTCTGACTCAATGACACATAACAACAGGTCAAAGAAAATGTTTTACACTGCACCTCATAGAGACTAAATAACTTGCCCACTGCTGTCATCCAGGGGCAGAGCTGAACACTGACTTACCTCTGAGCCCTAAGTCCTTCCTTCCCACCGCCCTCATATTGCTTCCTGTTTACAACCCCTGGAATCTCTTAATCCCAAACAAGAGATGATATCTTCTTTGACTTTCTCTTTATACCGGAATTAGAGTTCAGTGTCCAATGACTGATAATTTACAAACCCCACATGGAAGGAAGGAAGGAAGGAGATGGGAGGGGGGAAGAAAGAAGGGGACGGAGGTGGGTACTCACTCTTGCAGAGACCGGTCTGAGTCATCGGCATTTGCTATCCCCAGATCTGAGTCGTAGGACATGGGCTCCTCAGAACGGTCTGGACTCTTGGAGCCATTTTCTTGGAGTAGGCAGCTATCAGAGTTCAGGCTGCAGGACAGCTGGGACGAGCTGGCCGTGTCCAGGCTGAGGGAGGAGGCAGTGAGCTTCCTGTTCCGCCGGATCTTATGGCCTGAGTGCTGGACCTCAATATCTTCTGAGCCCGAGGAATGGGAAATCGAATCCAGGGACTCCTTCCGCTGGAGTTCTGCCCCAGAGGTAGTGAAAGGATCAAGCTCAGAGAGCGGGCAGAGCCCAGAGAGGGCCAATGGTGTGAGTGTCCACTCGTTCAAGATGGCTGACTTGTAGGAGAGGTCGAAGGACAAAGATGTTAGTCCCTGCAGGAAGCTAAGGAGAAACTCAGCCTCCTCGGCGTCTCGAAGCAGGGCTGTGGGCTGGTAGTACTCGCTCAGCCGGGCCTGCTCCTGGAGGAGCAGTTTCAGATAGCACTCCACCAGTCCGTCATTGAGGGCCAGGCGGAGCCAGGCCCGGCAGCGGCCCACATCTGTGTTGACAAAGATCAGGTGCTCCAATTCGGAAATGATGTGTCTGGGAAGAGAGAAAACAGACTGGTTCAGGTGATGATCTCAAATCACTGAGCTACCATTTTATCCACTAGCTAACAAGAACTTATAATAATAATTGGCATGACAGATTCTTAGATAATAGTGTGTCAAGAAGGGAACTCTGGTGGCTTGGTGGCTAAGGAGCAGTGCTGTCAACTCAAAGGTGAGCAGTTTGAACCCACCAGCTGCTCACTGGGAGAAAATGGGCAGTCTCCTCCCATGTGTAATTTAGTCTCTGAAAACCTGCTGGAGGGTCAGCCATAAGTCAGTTCCAACTTGACTTCATGTTAACAATAGTGCTTTAAGGAGAATTTTGAAATTAGAAATATCAAAGCTATAATCCTCAAGTTTTTTTACGTTGGGGTCACAAAGGATAATTGCTGTTTCGTGCAACTACTCCTTGGGACTTAGGACTTTGGTCTTTTCACCTAAGATGTGTGTGCTGAGCCTTCAGTGCAAGCTCCTTGGGGTTGTGAAGTCATGGGGTAAAGCGTGTCTCCCCTCAGCAATTGACAAGAAAGTACCTTTCACAACATGTGTGATTTGAGGGTTAGTGAGGCAAATGTTACGCAAAAGTCAGAAGGGAGCTCTGGTGGCGGCCTACTGATAAGAAGCTGAGCTGCAATCCTGAAGGTGTATGGTTCGAATCCACAGATGCTCTGCTGAAGAAGGAGGGGGACTCTCCTGTGCCAGTCGGATCTGATTCGATGGTACACAGTAGCAACAGCAGCAGCAACAACAACAAATTGAAAAAGAAAAGCAGCAATAGCAGCAGCAACAACAAATTGAAAAAGAAGAAAAAGAAAGTCAGCCCTGAGGGACTTCGGAAGACAAAGATGGAAAGAGAACCTTCAAGGTACAAGAGAGGGACAGAAAAAAACCCCAAAACATGAAAGGGCAAAGAAGCAACAGACATATAATAGGAATGGTGAGCACTCCAAGTACTACTCCAGGAGGTGATTCAGATGCAAAAGCCAGGTAGTAGAGGGTCTTGAGTATCAAACATACAAGGCCAAACTAGGGCAATGGTTCTCACAGACTGGGCATCAAAACTGCCTGGGGAACTTGATTAGGATTCTAAGGCTCCAACTCCAACCAGGCTCAAGGGGCCTGGCAGCAGCTCCAGAGAAACATTGGGGATTTTGCGCAGGAAAAGTGACTGGGTGATAACTATGCAGATTTTGGGGTGAATTTCTCTGAATAGAATGAAAAACTTTTAGTCTACCCAATTCAGTTCCTGAATCCCTGGGTTTGAAGCAAACACTCTCTTCTGAGCCACCCTAGTGCTCTATGCTTATGTCCTTTGTGGGTGGGCTGGCCATACTCTACTGGACTCAATAACTGACCTCGTGCCAGCTTCAGATCAATAAATGGTAACCTCCTGAATGGCTTAAGGAAAGACAAAGGAGACAATGAGAGGCCACTGTCAGCCAAGGGAGAGGTGCGGCCCTGAGACAGCACGATAGTAGTCAGAAAAATAATGAGACGCTGAAGGACACAGGGATTCACTCAAGTGTCCAGGCAGGACCAAAGAGATGAAAATCTCACGGTGAATTGTCACATCCCACCTAAACTACTCTATAAAAATCCTATTCCTACTTATGAGTACTATAGTACCTCTTTATCTGTAGGGTACATGTCCCAAGAACCCCAGTGGATGTGAATATACATATATTGTTGTTATGTACCGTCAAGTTGGAACTGACTCATAGCTGGCCCTCCCGCGGCTTTTCAGATCCAGTAACTCACACGGGAGGAGACTGTCCATATGATAAAACTTAATTTCTATATTAGGGACAGTAAGAGATTAACAATAATAACTAACAATAATTAGCAAATGAAAGAGGGTTACTTGAACACAGCACTGTGATGACAGTTCATTTGATATTCAAGACAGCTACTAAGTGACTCCAGGGATCCTGTGATGTGCCAGATGGGGGGACGGCTCCTGCCCTGGGTGTGCGAGTTCATCAAGCTGCTCAGCACATCATACAGTTTAAACCTTAGAAACCGTTTCCTTCGGAAATTTTCCCATTTAGTATTTTTAGATTGTGGTTGGCTGTGGGTAACTTAAACCCCTGAAAGCAAACCTGTGGCCACGGAGGGAGTACTGTAGCATATTTAGTACGCAGATGTTCAGGTGTTCTAAGACAAAGCTAGCAAACTCTTTTCTTAAGAGTCAAACAGGGGCACATAACTCCTGCTGCAACTACTCAGTTCTGTGGCTGCTGGGAAAAATAATCGACAATGTGTATGTGAACCAGGGTAGTTGTGTTCCAGCAAAACTTCCTTTTTTAAAAGCAAAAATAGATCGAGGACCAAATTTGACCCATGAGCTCTAGTTGGCCAACTCCTTTCTAAAGCAAAGTTCCTCATATTTCTCACATTGTCACAAATACACAGAATGTTTCATGTGGCAGCCTAAAGTAAACTGAGGATGCTGTTCCAGTCAGAGGAGACTAGGCCTGGGTCGCAAAGTAGTCCCACATCGTCCCTGAAGGTCAGGGGGGCCAGAATCTAACAGGACTCAGGCTGAGAAGCATTGCCTATGGATAAAGCCTTTAACTGTCTCCATCTACTTTCTCTACAGAGAACATAGAGAGGCTGTGTCAGTTTCCTTAGAGCTGATGAGGAAGAGCCAAGTGTCCCAGACTCAGAGACTCTTCCTCAAAATGAAGCCTTTCTCGGCTGAGCTCACTTGTGGGTGACGGCTTTCAGGAGAGGCCAGAAGACAGGCTGAGGCAGAGGCTTTTGATGGGCACTTTTCTTCCTCTTCCCTCCAGCCTCAGCTCGGATGTGCTTGGCCTGCAGGCCATGGATAAACACAGCCTCCAGGGCACTGCACATGGTGTTGGCATCTCCGTCTTCACTGGTGACCACTGTGTCTGAGGACACGTACTGCTTCTGCAGTGCTTTCACTGATCCCACCAGCTTCTTCTTGATGACCTAGGCAGTGTCAAACACAATGGAAGCGTTCAGAGAAACATTCCAGGGATAGAGCTCTCTGACTGTTAGTAAACACAGATGTACCCAACCACATGGGTAGTATTTTTTTACAAACTCCCATTTATAATAAAAATGATGGGCAGGCTCTCCTCAGAGCCTACTTCAGTTATAATTTGTCTCCATCGGAGGTCCCTCTGGCTAATGCCCACTCATTTTGAACCGAGAAAGGCTGATGTGTTGCTCTTCCCTTGTCCAGCCTGACCCTCCCTTGTGTGCCTACCGGGATGGCAGCCCGGGCGTCCAGTCCATTCTCCACCACTGAGAGCATCTCCACGGGTACAGCAGCTCCCACGGACAATCACATGACACCTGCAAAGAAAGGCAGGCAGGATGAGCTGGCTCCCAGGTCACTCCCCTTTCTTCGCTAGAGAATCCACCTCCCAGGGAACAGGAAGGAGGTCAAAGGATCTTGTTCAAACTGCAACTGAAAGGCGTCCTGAATAAAAACCCAAAAGCCAGGCAGTGCGTTCTAGGGAAGTACAGACTAGGAAGGAGAAAAGTCAGAGGGTCTGGACCCTTAAACTACCTTCTTGAACACAAAAATGAGAACCAGAGGGTGGATTCTAAGGAAGTATAAATAGGAAGGGAAAAAATTTCGAGGGCTCTGACCTCTGAATAGCCTCGTGAATTGAAAAACAAAACAAAAAAACCAAAAAAACTTCATTCTAAGGAAGTATAAACAAAAAAGGAAAAGTCAGGGGGCTTAGTCTCAAAAAGTGGGGAGCCATGTGTACCACAGGTGAATCTGCCCCAATGAGAGTTCAGTAAGGGCTCAAGACACCCAACAACGGCAGGGAGGCCTGTGTCCATGAGATTGGGGGCTGGAAAGGTACAGGGGCTGACAGGCCGATTTTGAAGAAGGCAAGGGGGAGGGCACAGCTAACAAACCCAAGGACCAATCAGGACCAGGAAGCAAGAGCTCAGAATTCGCTGGGGCCTAGGCTCTCCGACAGCACCCTCAACTCCTACCTCAGTCCTTCGTCTACAAGCTCAGCATCAAACATAACTGAAATAGTTTCCGAAGGGGAAGGTTTCCCTTCTGCTTCTCCTCATGGCTATGAGGGCCCAGCTTTAGCAGCAAAGGGACACTGTGTTTAAATGGAACTGAAACATGCTAAAACCAGAGTTCTCTTACCTCTTCACCTGCAAGGGGGTGAGCTGAGGTGACTGGAGTTAAGTGAATCAACATGTACATAGTGGCAATTTAGCAAAACAAGTGGAAAAGATTTACTAAGGCAATACGTCAGACAGACAGATGGCTAGTAAAAGGTATGCTATAAAAGAGTAAAAGTGAAAAAGAAAGAAAAGGGAGGAGGGGGAAAGGACCTCTAGGAAGATGGGGTGAACCTAAATCTTAACACTGTCAGCTAAAAAGGAGAGAGAAAAAAGAACAACATCCCCGGGAGGCACTGACTCCCAATCTCATGACACTTGGTCACAGTCCAGCCCCACATAGGGACATGTGTGAGTGGCTGGGGAGGGGCCTACTTCCTTGTTTTTTTTTTATTTGTTTTTTAAATTTTTATTTATTTATTTTATGTGTGTACCATCAAATCCGATCTGACTGGTACAGGAGGCGATTGTTCCTCCCTCTTCAGCAGAGCATCTGGTGGATTTGAACCACGCACCTCTGGGATTGCAGTGCAGTTTCCTGCCACTAGGCCACCAGAGCTCGCCACTTCCTTGTGTAACCACCTTTTGGTTCCTGCCAGAAATTCTATCACTTTGGCACTAGTGGCATACATTTCTTATTTGCTGGGAGACTTCAACAAGGATTCTCATTTCAGTTTTGCCTCTAACCATCAGGGCCGGCTAGGGAAAGGTATTAGACCACTCTGATGGAGATTATCTGGGAGGCTGGGCTCTATGAGGAGAAATGTAGCATCAGGATAGGAGGTAGACTCAGCAACTATCTGCGTTATGCAGATGACACAACCCTGCTTGTTGAAACTGAGGAGGACCTGAAGTGCTTGCAGAAGGTCAAGGACTGCAGCCTTCAATAGGGATTGAAGCTCAACATTAAGAAAACAAAGATTCTCACCACTGGGTGGATTGGCAGCATCATGATGGATGGTGAAGAGACTGAGATTGGTAACAGCATTGGTTTGCTTGGCTCTACAATCAACCCTCTTGGTACCAACAGCCAGGAAATTAAAAGATGAATTGCATTGGGAAAGTGAGCTGTCAGAGACCTCTCCAAAGTACTGAAGAGTAACGATGTCAGTCTGGAAACTAAGGTGTGACTGATACCTTTGTAATTACTTGCCATGCATCAGAAAGCTGGACAATGACTAGGGATGATAGAAGGAGAACTGATGCCTTTGAGCTGTGGTGTTAGAGAAGAATATTGAATATAACATGGACTGCTAAGAGAACAAATTCATCCTAGAGAAGGTGAATCCAGGTTGCTCCTTGAGGCAGAGATTCTGAGGCTTTATCTGACATACTTTGGACATCTTGCTTGGAGAAGGACGTCATGCTTGGGAGGATGGAGGGACAGTGCAGGAGAGGAAGACCCTCGACGAGGTGGATTGATTCAGTGACTGGGGTAATGGGGACATGTGTGTCGGAGACAGTAAGATTGGTATGGGATTGAGTAGGGTTTAGGGCTGTTGTACAAAGGGTCACAATGAGTCGCAGGTGACTCGCTGGCACATAACAATAGCAAACCACAACAATGGAGATTTTGTATGTGCATAAAGGAGCTAGCTCAAGGCCTGATATACATTAGGTATTCTTAAATGGTATCTGTGATCCCAACAGAAATGGTCAAATATACACACAGAAAATGGCATTCCCTAAGAAACTATACAGAGAGTTGCATACAACTGTGAAACTGACTCTTCAATGGAAAACTGGTTCTCTCTTTTCTATTGTTAAAATCCTCACTCTCTCTTCCAGGTTCAAATGTTGTTCCAGCTGGGGCAAGCACTATATGCAGGGCATTTGGGAGCCAAGTCCCAGGATAAAGCATCTGGTTTCCTCCCTTACCGTAGCTAGGGGCTTGATTCTTAGAGGGCTGCAGGCTGACCCAGTCCCAACATAGTAACTTGAGGCAGGCACATTCACACCTAAACAAATCTCTAACTATACAAGGAGCATAGTCCTTAATGCTCACTGACAGACAGGAAGTTTGAACTCATCAGCCACTCTGTGGAAGAAAGATGTGTCAGTTAAGTGTCCCTAAAAATTGCAGCCCTGGACTCTCTATGGAATAGTTCTGTCCTATTTGGTTGCTATGAGCCAGAATCAACTCAATAGTAATTGTTGAACTTGTTTAATGAACAAGATGATGAACCTCAGTAGAATATCAAGAGATTATACGCTTGTCTGTACTCTTAAAAAAATCATGGGGAGCTCTGGTGGCCTAGTGGCAAGAAGCTGCACTGCAATCCCAGAGGAACACGGTTCGAATCCACCAGACGCTCTGCCGGAGAAGGAGGCACAATATCCTCCTGTACCAGTCAGATCTGATTTGACGGTACACACACACACACACACACACAAAAATCATGGTCCAACAGAAGTTCACTATAGAGTATTGTTACATGCATTCTGTACATATCTTGCCTTATTCATTCCTGATAAACACTCTAGGATGGCTTTATTATCTTAAGTTGACAGATAAGGAAGCTGAGCTGGTCAAGACTCTTGCCATACCTACAACCAGGAGAAGATAACATAGATGAATGGGATCTTCTAAGACTCAAATCCCTATGCACATCCAAAAACTTCTCCAATAGGGTAAAAAGGAAAGCCACTGACTGGGAAAAAGTATTCGGTAATAACATATCAGATAAGGGACTGATATCCAGAAT